AGAACTCACCACCTCTGTCAGAGTGCAGACGCAGGACAGGAAAGTCCGAGTGGAACCGCTCACTGAGCTGGAGACGAGAAGCGCGGATCCAAGGGATCAAAACATCAGGGACCTCACCCTTGGTGCGCAAGGGGAAGACCGTGGTGTAGCGCGAGTAGTCGTCAACAACGATCAGGAAGTACCTCTCCTGACCCTGTCCACGGACGCGGGCTGGGCCCCACACGTCCATGTGGAGCGTCTGCAAGGGAGCAGTCGTCGGGGGAAACGAGGAGGAGTGAGGAGCGGCGCGCTGCCGCCCCTCGACACAGGGAAGGCAGGGAGGAGCAGGCGAGGGTGGGAGTGGAGGGAGAACCCTGGGAAGACCAGAGACAAGGTACCGGTTGTGCATGGCACGAAGGCGCTGCACTGACGGGTGACCAAGACGGTGGTGCCAGAGGACAGTCTCGTGTGCCAGAGAGCGACACGAGCAGGGGGCAGACAGCTGACCTGACGCAGACGCAGACGCAGCTACCTGTGGGGACTCAGTGGTCAGTGTGTACAGGTCCGACCCCGGCTGCCGAGTGAAGGTAGCCAGGTGGCGGCCCGTCCGAGCGCACGTGCAGTGTGTCACACGCTCGTAGGCAGGGGTAAACTGGTGGACACCCCCGTCCTGGAGCGCACTACCCGCCACCAATTTCGTAGAGAACGAGGGGAGGTAGAGACCTGACAGAGTGCCCGACGGGACCGCAGGACAAGGGAGAACAGTAGAGGAGGTCGCAATGACCGGACCCCCAGAGGGGTCAGCGAGGGAGACTGCAACCGGCCGAGCAAGCTGCTCAAGGGCAGTGCGGTCACGAAAGAAACAGCGGGAAGCGCCTGAGTCCAGTGTGAAGGTGTGCAGTGCCTCAGTAGACGCAGTACCAGAGGGCGCAGACTCACGAGTACCTAGAGCAGCAGCCTCACCAGCACCTGGGGCAACAGACACACGAGCACCTAGTGCAGCAGCCTTACCAGTACCTAGAGCAGCAGACTGGATACCGGGGTCAGGCGGCACACACAGGTGACAGGCACTCTCAGCACTAGTAGGAAATGCATACATGGCAGTGAGGATAGCATCATAGTCAAGAGCATAGATATCTACCCTCTGCCTAAGCAGCTCCACCCAGTCGGGGAGCTCAGCCGCGTCGCCAAACTCTGTACGCCAGGCGTCGCTCAGACGGGCGAAGCAGCGGGACTCTGTGTGACCAAACGTCCCGCAAGGCTGACCAGTCCGAGCACCAGTGCGAATGACGTACGGGCAGCGAGCAGTACCCCGTGACCCTCCACGCTGAGCGTACCACTCACGAAGCTGCTGGGGCGTGAGGGACTCACTCGGACGTCGCGGGAGCTGCATCTGGCCACCGCCAGGAGCAGCAGTAGCAGTAGTAGCAGCAGTAGTAGTAGCAGCAGCGCGGCCACCCCTACAACCCCAACCAGCATACCACTCACGAAGTTGTTGGGGCGTGAGGGACTCACGCGGACGGCGCTGGAGCTGCATCTGGCCACGCCAGGAGCAGAAGTAGAAGTAGAAAGAGCAGTAGCAGCAGGAGCAGCAGTAACAGCAATACGGGCAGGGCAGTGCTCACCAGTGGCGAGAAGGGCAGGCGTACGACGGTGGTAACGGCGAGGCCGCTACCACTGCAGGGCGAGGGCTCCGCGGCAGCTGCAGGGGCGGCTGCTCCAGGGGCCAGGGGCGGCTGCAGAGGTCCAGGGGCGGCTGCTGCAGGGGCAGCTGCTGCAGGGGCGGCTGCTGCAGGGGCGGCTGCTCCAGGGGCGGCTGCTCCAGGGGCCAGGGGCAGCTGCTCCCTTTTTTTTTTTTTTTTAATTAATTATTTATTTTAGGGTTTGGCAGAGCGCACTCGGCGCTGCAGAGGCGGCTCGCGGGCTGCAGGGTGGCTCGGGCAGCAGCGAGGGGGGGGGGGCGGCGCGCGGCTCCCCAGGGCGCCGCGACGGGGCAGCGGGGGGGGGGGGGGGGTGCGCGCGGCTCCCCAGGGCGTCGCGACGGGGCAGCGGGGGGTCGCGCGTGGCTCCCTAGGGCGTCGCGACGGGTCAGCGGGGGCCGAGCGCGGCTCCCCAGGACGTCGCGACAGGGCAGCGGGGGCCGAGCGCGGCTCCCCAGGGCGTCGCGACGGGGCAGCGGGGGCCGAGCGCGGCTCCCCAGGGCGACGCGACGGGACAGCGGGGGTCGCGCGCGGCTCCCCAGGGCAGCGCGACGGGGCAGAGGCAGCGCCCACGGGCGACACGCGGCTCGGCAGGGCAGCACGCTGGCTGCAGGGGCGGCTCTCGGGCCTGCAGAGGCGGCTCGGGGGGGCCTGACGGGTCTGCAGAGGCGGCTCGGGGGCCTGACGGACCTGCAGGGGCGGCTCGAGGGCCGTACTAGCTTGCAGGAGGCAGCGCGAGGGCTGCAGGACGGCACGCGGGCAGACCGAAGGGCGGGTCGCACGGGGGCGCACGAGGGCGCACGTAAGGTAGGGCGCACGAGGGCGCACGAGGGCGCACGAGGGCGCACGAGGGCGCACGAGTATAGAAAGGCGCACGAGGGCGCACGTAAGGTAGGACGCACGAGGGCGCGTCTAGCGGAATAGTGGGCCCGTAGGAGAAAGCGGTCCTAGGTAGCAACCTAGGCTCGTGATACCATGTTAGAATGTAGAACTGAACGAGAATGTGTGAAACTAGGCAGCAGGGTGATACAAGTAGGAAACCCTAGCAATGTTGTACCCCCTAAGGCTAAACCCACTATAGCCTACACAATATGAACATGTATAATGTTTGACATACCGTGGTACCCTCCTTATTCGGCCGGGTATGGTCGATTGCGTGAACCGGCACAATCACTCGGTGAGGGTCGGTTGGGTCGGGCGAGCGGCGTGACCTGTCAGTAGAGGGCCCGTCTGCTACTGACTCCCAGCGTTTCCCTGCTGCTTGGTCTGTTTCTGCTGCTCAGCTTCCCCCTTTCCCTTAGCGTTTTCCGGGCATTCGCTCTTGCGATGTCCCGGCCGATTGCACGCAAAGCAGCGCCCTTTGAACGGTGCGGCAGCGGCATTTGCGGCGACGGCACGTATCGTGGCGCCCTCGTTCGTCCCACGAGGCCGATGTCCCTAATGGCTGCTTCCGTAGGACCCTGGTCTCGGTCGGCGGAAGAAATCCAGTTTCTCCGCCATAGCGAGAATTTCTTGAAAGTCAGTGACGCCGCGAAGCTGGATTTCCTGAGCGATGTCCTGCTTCAGGCCGCCGATGTAGCGGTCGATGCGCTCACTCTCGTGCATATATCCCACCTGCTCGCATAGCGCCAGAAATCCGCTCGCGTAGTCTTGGACGGAACCGAGTTGGCGCCAAGTGCGGAGCTTCTGTCGCTCCGCGATCGAAACCGCGATTGGCTCGAAACGAGCGCGCAGACCTGCGCACCACGCGTCCCACGTGCGATACTGGGGCACCTCCACGAAATACGACGGCGCCCAGGGTCCGGTTTGTCCTTCCCGTGTCGGTAGAGTCGCGTAGTCCACCGGCTTCGTGACGATGACGCGCCACCAGTCCATGGCGGGTCCTCGCAGCAACGACACGGCGTAACGAATCTTCGCCGTATCCTCCGAGACATAGTTCGCGTCGAAGAAAACGTTCAACGTGAAGAGCCACGCCTGAACAGTAGAACCACCCCGCTGACTTGGGTCAAAGCATGGCGGACGCTGCGGCTTTAGCGGCATCGGCGACGGAAGAGTTGATCCGCCGGCCGGCACTGAAATCGTGACTTGAGGCTGAGTCCTGGCCGCATTCGTCGCGTCGGGGTGTGTCGTGCCGTGGTCGTCGTCTCCGTCATGGCGGACGACGCCATCACTTGAGGCGCTCGCGGGTTGCCCCACGCTTCCGTGCTGTGATGTTTGTGGTGCGGTCTGAATCGGAGTGCCAGGTGCTTGGGATTGTGCTCGTGTGAGGTCGTTTTGCAGGGACGAGCGTTCTGCCGTCAGCGTCGCAATTTCCTCGGCGCTCTCGCGGATTTGTCGCAGCAGATCGTTCAAGTGCTCCTGCGTGAGAGTCGTGACGTCGATGTGTTCAGCCATTTCGAAGGGCGTCGGCTCGTCTTAGTCTAGGCGCAGTCGTGGCTGCACGCGTTTACGAGAGAACGCGAGGACAGCGGCTCCTAGGTGCTAAGGTACGTGAGTCTCTTCGAGTTGATTTCCTGGGGTGCGGAGATGCGCGGTCCGAAAGAAAGGGGCTCTGAATACCAAGTGTTACGGGTGCAATGAATCGAAGTAGCGAGAATTGCACTAAGGTGTCACATGAGTACAAAGATGTGAGCGAAGGCATGAGCGAACATTTATACGCGAAACATGCAAACGGTAACGCGGTGCGTGCGAGCTAGCTAGTGCTATGCTGGCAGCGAGGCTCGGGCTAGTCCCGAAGCGTAGGCCGACACGGCCGGGCCAGCAGTGCGAGGTTTGGCAAAACAGTGCGCGCGAAGTTGGCGAAGTCCCGTTAGCAGTAACAGGCGAACAACGGCTGTTGCTGTACGCGATGTAGTCGGGCTCCGTAAGGAATGCCGAGAAAATTCCTTACAATACCTCGTAGGTGATCCGCGACATGGTAAAAACCCATTAGACCCATTATTTTACTGTACCCGGATTCAACTTCTGAAATGGGTTCCAAAAGTACCGTAACGTTGATGTCCAAATGTATCACATTAGTTATAGGTTGGATCGAACTGTACAATCAAGTCTTTACGGATGACACTACACAGTTGAAGAAAACACCTATGTACAGTGATTAAGGGTGGTCAGGTGATTCTCGCCTGAATGCTGGAAGAGCGGCTAGGGTTAGGAAAATAGAGAAGCCAGGCAGGGTCGACCAGAAAGGACGTCGATCAATGGATGACGTCACATGTTAGCCTACAAAACCTTTCCGCGTCGCGCAATTCTAGGTTTGAACAGGAAGGATGGTAGCTACCGTCGCGCGGCTCTTGGTGGAAAAATTCGATGCCTGCATAGCTACTAGCTTGGTCGACTAGCTACCCGGGCTCCCACCTGGAGCATGGACCCGTTTCGTATGTCAGGAACGGACGAGGCTCGAAGCTGAAGGCTGAGCAGACCAGCTTTGCGAACACGGCTGCTGCGATTAGCGATGGAAATTGGAGCAGTGGTTACCGCACTCATCGTGCCACATGCGTCGCTAGTGGTAGCACCTCCCTGAAACGCGCTTCCACTACTATTAGGAGAACGATAGTTTGCCGCGCTAACGGCGGAGGGGGAATTGTGGCGCGCGCCGACGTTGCGCGGCTGGCGCATGAACAACGCCGCGTTCACCTCCGCGTGGCCGGCGGCGGCGGTGATGGTGGAGCCAGCAGGCAACAGCAGCTCCCAGAACGGCGCTTCGTCACTCTCATCGTGATTACTACTAGGCGTAATGTTATGGAGAGCATTGTCCGGCGCTACGACTACTACTGCACTGCTGCTGTTCGAGGAGCTGCGCTTGCCTGCGCCCCGTCCGATGTCGAATCCTTGCTGCTGCCGCGCCGCAGCTACTGACGCGGACTGCTGCTGGTCCTGCTGCTGCTGCTGCTTGCGAATGCCCGTGCTGCTCGGCAGTCGCCGAGTTATGGCTGTAGCCAGGTCTGACAATAACGCAGCATCTACCGGGATGAATCTTGGAGATGTTGGTGGAACGGCGACGGCGGGATTTCCTACAGCGATTCCGCTTTTTCCTACTGTAGTAGTAGCTTCTCCCGCTGTCTTTGAGAGGCTCGCCTCTTTACTGCTGCAGTCTGATGCTGTTGGCTTAGCAGTAGCGGGGGGTACTGAGGCCAAAGTTTCTGGGAGAGTGGCAGGGGTGAGGACGGCCTTGCTTGTTGGGAGCAGATTGGCCGCGAGTCTCGCGACGGCGTTGGCTTTGAGCATCATGGACGCCTGCTCGCTGCTGCAGCTGCGGCAGCTGCATCCGAACGTGCTCACGTCGCTGCTGCTCACGCTGCTCGCGCCGTAGCTGCTCACGCTGCCGCAACTGCTGGACTCGCCATCCCCCCCCGTCGCGCCAGCAGCGCGCAGTCTTCGCGGCCGACCGCTTCCGCTCTCCCCACCGCCCGTCACGGCTTCCGCGCCTGACTTGCTGCCGCTGCATGCGCCGCACCACGCGTCACCCGCCTCCGCCTCGCGCTGGTGCATAGGGCAGAGGGCCGGAGGAGTATGCGAAGGGGAGGGGGAGGGGGAAGCGGCGGCGGGGGGAGCGGCGGCCCCTCGGCGGCGAGAAGGCGCAAGCCACTTGGAGTTCATGTACTGCGATCGGCGCCAAGGCGGGAGATGGAGGCTCTGCGACGCCATGCACACGCGCATAGCCTCGATGAGCAGCGCAAGCAGCTTGCGCAGAGTGGCAGGCGTGCCGACGAAAACCCTGGGGATGGCGGACCAGAGCGCCTGGTACTCGGGGGTTGGGCGGGAGAGTGTGAACTGCGCGCGGAAGGTTATGTCCACTATTACTACCTGCTGCTTTCGGTCCTGCTGTACAGGTGGTTTGTCCTGTGGGTATGCTTTTCCAGAGCTTGGTGTTTGCTGCTGCTGGTATTGCTGCTGTGAGAGGTGATGTGGCTTGGTTGGTTGGGGAGAGGACGAGGCGCCAATGGCAGTAGGAAAGGCGACCTCCACAAATTCATACTCGCCTGAGGGGATGCCGCGGGAATACGCCCACTCCGTCACTCGCCGGCAAGCGTCGTACCCCCGCTGGTTGAGCAGGTAAGCCACGGTCGCCCGTTGCTCAGCCTCGCGGCAGTCCTCGCACCCCGCCGCTCCCGGGTGGCTCGGCCTATCCCACAGCCCCGTCGCGCCTCCCGCGACCGCCGCCGGCGCCACCGCCAGGTTCTGCGCATCCGTCGCCGCCGCGTCCATGTCAGCAGCCAAGCGCGGGAGGAAGTGCTTCAGCGGGTTGGGCGTCTCACCGAGCGATCGGGTTTTCAACGTCTTTCGGTAATCCGCCAGGGTGTGGTCGAACGAAGCGCGCACGTCGGCCCACTCGTCCTGGAAATCCGGCTCATCGTCGATCGCTGGTTCTGGCGCTGGCTGCGACGGCCGGGCAGCTCGGGCAGTCGCGGCGGAAACGTTTCGGCTGAAGGGTGACCAGGGGGCAGCGGAGGGGATTTTGCGTCCGAGTGTGCCGCCTGCCCAGGGCGGACGGATGGCTGAAGTCCGAATGACGCCAGCAGCCGCTGCTTTCGCGGCTATTTTCGCGAGGCGTCTTTCACGAAGCTTCTGCATCCCCGACCGCTCTTGCTGCTCCCACTGCATCACCTCTCCTTCCAGCCAGACATCGTCGTTCGCTGTGAGAACCATTTCTACTTGCTCCCTAACGTGCGGCTCCGTGTGACGGATTGAAGGCGCTATTTGGAGAAGCTGAGGGACTGACTCGCACTAATTACCACCGACAGGTCAGACATCAATAGGTTTCGGAAGCGGAATCACAGCGAAAAGGAGTCGTGAACGGTTATCTAAGGAATTAAATTGGACTAAGAGATGTTTCAAAGTCTCACAACAGGGATTAAGCTCTGTGCGTGGGTGGACCACTCTATGCGAAAGGCGGAAACTGTGCTGGTCCAATTCGCTGCCGCTGCTTCTGAAATGCAAACTGCCAACCTAGAAATGACTCTTGAAATGCTTTCGGTTCTGGCTTTGTTGGTGAAATATGGTCGGAGGATGACGAGGCCCCGCCCCGCGGCGCCACATCCAGCAGTGAACTGGGAGCTTAGGTGAAGGGGAGATGAATTTTCGCCTGAAGGGACGGGTCACGACACAGTCCACGGCGGCAGCGACGAACCGCAGCTGGCCGTTGGGTGAGTGGTTGGGCGGTGTCGTGCCCAGAGAAGAGATTTGTGGTGGGTTGGGTTGCCGTGACGTCCCGCGAGGGAAGGAAGCTGACTCGGACGAGAACGGATATCGAGGGATCAGGGGGTTCAAGAATCAAGAGGGAGACGAAACGAAGCCAGATGGCTGGAGTCCACGAGCCGTGTGGTATGGGGGTTGGTATGGTGGATTGCGTTTCGTCCGCTGACCAAGGAGTGACGAGCGGCGGCCGTGAATTGGCTGGAGGCAGGCAGAAAGGCTCCGGCGAACCTGGACCTGCGCCGAGCATTCCCGGAAGTCACGACGCGCTTCGAGAGTCTCGTGGAAGATACGAGACGGGACAGAGAAGACTTTCTAAATACATTGAACCTGGTTCGGAGTCTAAAAACAATGTACATGTAAGGAAGCAAGCGAATTCGTACATACGAACTGTGTCAGGTGGAACCCCGTCAACCTTCCAGCGTAGCGCTGAAAGTGCGGAACTGTGTAGCGCGCGAATTCCACCTGGGACCCTGCACTTGGCGTTCATTTGCGGGAGAGGTATGACGGTGATTGCCAAGACAGCGTATCAGGGATCATGCATTGCATTTGGACAATTGCTCTTGGAAAGCCGCAACCCCGTCATTGTGTAAGGCCACAACCTCAACCCTAGTAAATATATTGTATCGGTTAACTAACTAGTGGCTACCACAACTATAAGCTTCTACTTATAAGATATTATTCCTATCTCTGATGCCTACTCAGGCGCATTAGTTGAACTTACGCAAACCAACCCTTTGCCCACATCATTCATGCTACCTACATGTTCACATCATGTCACAGACCAACTACACTGCCTCACCATCCTCTCCCAACTCTTCCTCCTCTTCTATAACCTCCTCCGATCCTTCCTCCAGTTCACCCCGTTCATCGCAAGGCCGGCACAACCAGAACCGCACAAGTGGGGGCAGAGCAGCGAGGGCCGTGAGAAGGTGCAAGTGATAGTTCCCCCCAGCAGACATTCGCACGGAAATGCCGCCTACAGCCCGACTGTCCATACTGGCACGCACTCGAAGCGAAGGGACGCTGCCGCCACTGCCAGTGTTACTGCTGCTGCTGCTGCTGCTGCCACTGTTCATGTTACCACTGCCCCTGCCACCACTCCTGTTGTTGCTGTCACCCCTGGCCTTAGACCCATGGCCAATGCTGTTCTTCCCGCTCGCTCCAGCACTGCGTTTGCCCTTACTGCTCCTTCCAGATACAGTCCGATCTCCCTTCTGAAAAAGTGCAGAAGCAGGCGGGGCAACGAGCGGCAGCTGTGCCTCCAGCACTGCGCCGAATATGGTGGCGCCCTGCCAGTGCAGCAGCGAGAGGCCTGCTGCTGCCATGGCTCGTGAAGACATGGAGGGTGAAGAAGCAGAGGAGGAGGAGGAGGAGGAGGAAGAAGTGGCAGGAGCGTGCACCTACGAGGGGACAGGAATGGGTTGGTACAAGATGTGAGATTGTGAGGGTCAGTAGCACAAGATGGGGTTGAAAGGGAGAGGGGAAGGGGGCTGGGAATAGGGAAAGAGGGGAAGAGACAGCGTGAGTGATATTGCAAATGCGGTACTGCGTGTGAGGCCCATTGAAACGGGACATGGCACGGTATGGAGGGGAAGGAGGGGGGTGGTGGGAGTGAAGTGCTGTTTGTGCTGGTGCAGCCAACACCATCTTTCCGGCATGCTGATTGATGGCAAACAACACTGCAACATGACACAAGGCAACGACACAGCTTGGCTGACGCCAAGCCACATGCTGTCAACTCAACTGCCGACAGCATAGTTTCGCAGCTTGGCGAGACATAATGGAAGCCCATCTGTAGCATGCACATGCTGAAGCTCACCTGTAGCCTGCACATACTCGCATATTCAACGCATGCTTTCCTGTGTCCACACAAAGGCCTGACCTGACAAAAAACAACACATAAGGAAGCTCACCTGCAGCCTGCACGTGGCGCCCACTGCCTCCTCCTGCCCCCACCGCACTGCTGCTGCCGACCCACTCACTCGAACACACCGCCCCAGAGCCACTCGTGACGACAGCTGCGACGATGAAGAATAAACAACCAGAGGAGATCTGAGTTCCAAAGACTTGGATGGTGGTTCCAGGGAGATGACTTCATCTCACACAGACGAGCACAGCTTAATACGACTCCTAGACAGTCCAACCAAGCTGGAAAGGAAAAAAAAAAAAAAAAAAAACTGGGAGCACGCACACATGCAGTGACGCTGAAATAGGTATTTGATTATCTCCAAGCATAAAAGGTAGCAGCAACCCACAACACTCCCGTACTGACATCAACCATCCCCATCCCCATCCCCATCCACTGCGTACACGAAATGCATACCTTTGCGCCCACTGCAACCCCATCTCCATAGTCGCTCCCCATGGCCACAGCCACACCAGCCGCCGTCCTGTTGCCTCGGAACAGTGACACCCTCACATCCGACCGCACCGTACACGTGGCAGCTGCTGCTGCTGATGCCAATTCCAATGATGCTGCTGCCCCACCTGCTCCTCGTGCACCAGAAGTGGCGTGCAATGAGGAAGCAGCGCCACCCGAACCCCTTGTCCCGGACTCCCCTGCTCCTCGCCCTCTTGCTGCACCTGCCCCATCCGATCCAGGTTCAGCTGCTGCTGTTGTCCGTGCAGCCCGCACACCAGCACCAGCCCTGTCAGCAGCAGCAGCAGCACCCTTGGCTGCATCCATGGGTCCTCGGGAAAAGCTCCTCCACAGGGCTTTCAACAGCCCACCTTCCCTCTCCTTCCCCACTCCTCCTCCTCCACCTGCTGCTGCCCCTGCCACCACCCCTCCTCCTGCCTCTCCCCCTCCCCCACCTCTCGGCCCCCCCTCTCTCACTCCCCTACCCTGCGCAAAATCATCAAAGCCCGAAATAGCCCCAAAACCCTGCAGTCTGCTGTTGCCGCCTCTGCTGACTATCCTAGACCCCATCCCACTAGCTCCCCACACTTCCCCTCTCCCCCCTCCCCCTCCCCCTCCCCCTGCCCCTCCATCGGCCATCATGAGGGCCCAGGCGGGTGTGCGGCGAAGGCAGATTTCCAGTCCAGCGGTGGTGACGGGGTTGGCGAGGGAGCGGGGTGCGTGGCGGAGCGAGGCAGAGAGGTCCGCGTCTAGCAGTAAGAGAGCCTTGGACGAGACTAGCTGGAACACCAGAGAGGAGGGTGGAACGGGGGGGAGACAGAGTGGGGGTGGAGGAACGGGAGGAGGGGAGGGGAAGAATGGAGGGAGTGGAGGAGTGGGGGAGGAAGGGGAGTGGATGAGTGGTCGGGGGAAAACGGGATAGAAGGAAGGGGAGATGAAGGGAGGGTGAGGCATGGGGATAATATGGGATATTGAGCACGGGAAGAGAGACAGGGCGAGAAGTGGAGTGGAATTTGGTCAATGGTACGAATGGGGAGACGCATAGATGGCAAAGAGGTGCCTCTTTTTGAGGTGCCTCTTTTTGAGTTGCCTCGCTTTGAGGCGCCGGAAACACGCAGAGAACGACTGTGGAGAGATGCTGAGAAATATCTGCGGTGGAGAGAAAAGCAGCAGAGGACATTGCGTGGCGATGGAATGAAAGCGGAACGAAGAGTGAACGGCTTTTGTTGAGAAAGGACGGTACGTGAACGAAATGAGAGGGGAGGGAGGGGGCTGTTGGAACGGCCGAAGGCAGGGGGAAGTGTGGAAGCGAGGTCTGAAGAGGAAGAGACAGTACAAGAACCTTGCCCTGACTTTTCCTCCCATCCAGCCCTCCCTCCACCTCTTCACCTCTCCCTCCTACCATCCCTTTCCCCAACTCCAGCCTCCTAGCCCCCAACCTCCCTCTCTCCTTCCCATTCCCCTTCCCTTCCCGCACCCTTCCTCCCTCCATCCCACCCTCCCTCCCTCCCTCCCACCGCACGCTGCTCACCTGAGCAGTGACGGCGGCGGGAAGGTGAGAGGAGGCGGCAAGGCAGCGGTCGAGCAACAGGGCGTTGAAGGGCGGCAGGGAGAGCGGGAACACCGCACTCACCTGTGGTAGAGTGGGGGGGGCGGAGCACGAGGGAGCGGGCGGAGAGAGGGAGGGAAAAGGGAAGGAGGAGGGGGTAGGAGGGGAGGGGGAAAAAGGGAGAAGGGGGAAAAGGTGGAGGGAAAGGGGGAAAACGGGAAGGGAGAGAAAGGGGGAAGAGGAAAGGAGGGAAATGGGGAAAAGGGGCAAAAGGGAAAGAGGGGAAAGGGGGAAGGGAAGGTCGAGCAGGAGGGCATATGGATACTGCAAGGGAACAAAGATAATCTTTACAGGGTATGCATAAAAGGGGGTCAGGGGGGGCGGAAAGGATGGGGGGGAGGGGGGAGTGGGGAGTGGGGAGTGGGAAGGGGGGTTGATGAATTTGTGCGATGTGAACGGAGAGAGTGACAAGAGGGGAGTAGCAACCGTAGAAGTTGCACAGTGGGGAGGAGATGACAAGGCCTGGTACTCCCACAGGGCCAAACCTGCTCTCAGTTCTCCATTCCACCATCATACGCACCACAATCTCTCACTAACATCCATCATTCTGCCCCCATAACAGACCCCCGCCTGCCCCAATCACACGGGCCTGCTCGCACACACCTCGCCTCGCCGAGTGACGTGTCTGAAGTGGTGTGCGGGCCAGTCCGAGTGGAAGGACGGAGGCAGCTCCACCTCTGCTGTCGCCACTGCTATTCTCTCCCGCCTCTCCCTCCTCCCACCATTGCCATTGCTGCTGCCATTGCCACTGCTGTTGCTCCCCTCTCTCAGCCTTGCTCCTCCCACAACCCCCCCCCCTTGATTCACCACCTTCTCTTGTTCCTGCCCCTGTCCCTGCCCCTGCTGCTGCTGCTCGTTTCCCCCTCGTGGTCTCTCTGCTCCGGCCACCCCTGTCCCTGCCGCAGGGCCTGGTACTGCTGCTGCCCCTCCGCCTCCTGCTCTATTCACCTGCCTTAGACGTGCTTGCTGCCGCCTCACCCGTCTCTGCTCCTTGCACAAGAGCCGCTGTGTGGGAAGAGGGTGTGGTGTGGGGTTGAAGAGCGCGGAGGTAGGGTGGGGGTGGGGTTGAGAACACGGGGCAGGAGGATTCAGGAATAAGGTTTGAGGTTTGAGACATCCAACAAGGCGATGGGCGAGGGGGTAGTGGGGTTGGAAGGATGGGAAGAAATGGAGATGTTGGGGAGAGGTGTGGTGGAAAACAATTTCTAGAGAGGGAAGGAACAACAGTAAGGAACACCTTGGAGAGGGACAGCTGATGCAACACTGGAAGATTTGACACCACAACACAACACAACCTTGTACTACCAGCACTGATCTCCATGCACTCCCACATACCGCTTCTGAGGCTACTCAAAGCACCTTCATAATCACATGGCCATGATGACACCACGCCAAAACCTAGTATCAGCACAGATCTCCATGCACTCCCGCAGACGACTTTTGAGGCTACCCAACAGTCACTTCCACCCACACACGCATACAAGCAACCACCCCACCTCATCCCCCACCCTCCCACTCCCCCCATCCGTCCTCCTCCTCACCTCTGCACGTCCCTCCCACGCAGCGAGCTCAGCCCGGTAGCGCCTCATCTGAGCGGCGGACAGCAGCTGCTGCTCATGCGACGACAAGTGGTGGAACGACCCTCCTGCCCAGAACCCCGATGCTTCTCCTCCTCCCCTACCTCCTCCTCCCCTTCCTCCCCCTCCTGCCCCTCCGCCTCCTCTGCCTCCCCTCACCCCGCCCTGCGTAGCCCCCTCTTTGCCCTTGCCTTTCCCCCTGCCTGCGCGGCCCAGCTGCCCCGCGTCATCCTCGTCCCCAGCACTCCCCCCCCAGGCGCGCTCTTCCACAGGAAGCAGCAGGGGGCGCCTGGTGCTGAGCAGAGAGGAGAGCAGGCAGGGGAGCGGTGGCAGCACGGAGGCAGGTGAGGAGGAGGAAGAGTGAGAGCTGCTGCCACTGCGAGGGCTTGTTGTGCTTCCTGCCGAGGCTGCTGGGGTGCTGATGCCAGGTTGTGCGGAGTGTGTGGCGTGTGTGTGTGCGGGTGCGACGGAGGCGTGTGCTAGGGACAGGCATTTGCTCGCTGCGCACAACAGCAACAACTGCTCCCGCCACGCCGTGCTGTTGCTGCTGCTGGTGATGGTGGTAGCACTGGTTGAACCACCACCAGCAGCAGTAGGAGCAGGGGCGGCACTGCCACTCCCCTGGCCCACCCCCCAGCAGGGCACGCCATTCTCAGCGACCACCACAGGGTTGCACAGCCGCTGGTCGCCAGCAGCCACGCGGATGCACTGCTGCAAGTACTGCGCCCGCCGTGCCACCACCTCTCCCAGCGCAGCCTGCTGCGCCCTCCACACCTGCTGCTGCTCCACCTCCCCTTCCCCCTCCCCTTCCCCCTCGCCCTGCCGCTTCCCTTCCCTTCTTCCACCCCCCTCGCCCGGCGCTCTCCCCTGCCGCTGCCTCTGTTCTCTCCGCTTCGCCAGCACCATCTGTCGCGCCTCTGCGGCAGTGGGCGTGGCGGCAGCGGCGTGGGTGAGCACGAGCACCACGCTGCGCCACACGTCCCGCCCCAGGGCCGCGCCCACGCGTGATAACATCTCCAGGTCCTCTAGCTGCTCGCCCTGCCCTGCTTCCCAGTCCAATCGGTCCACTAGCAACACCACGTCTGCTACTGATGATGATGATGATGATGATGATCCCTGCTGATGCTGCTGCTGCTGCTGATGTCTATGGGAGTGGTTGTTGTGCTGGGCTATCTGTTGCAGGTGATGAAGCAGGGGTATGTGCTGCCACCACTGCTTATGCTGCTGGTGATTTTGATGGTGATGGTGATGGTGGTGCTGGTGGTGGTGCTGCTGCTGCTGCTGCGGCTTCTGTCGCTGCTGATTCAAAGACGACTTGACCTGCTTCTGCCCCTGACTCCGCTCCTTCTTCTGCTGCTGCTGATGACGCTGCTGCTGCTCCTGCCGCATTCCCCTCCTCTCGTCCCCGCACCTTTCCTCCGCCAGAAACCGTCTAAGCTGCAGCAGCACGCGCTCATTACCCGCCATGTCCGCCCCTGCAGTGCCCAGCCCAGGGAGTTCTAGCACACGCACCCCCACCCCACACACCTCGCCCACCACCTCCTGAATCCCTCCCTGCCCATCCCAACCCATCTGCAAACCCAGACTACCCAGTGCACGCTGCAACAAGCTCTGGTGTTGCCCCTCTGACGTCTCACCACCACCCCTCTGCGCCACCCCTCTTGCTCCATCCCCTCCTTGCTCTCTTGCCTCCTCCGCCTTCCCATGCGCTCTCGATTCCCCTCCCTTTCCTCCCTCACCTCCCTCATCTCTCTTCCCCACACCCACACCACCCGCAACAACCCCTGCGTGTGCACGGTCAATGCCACTCGCACCCGTAATCGCACTCCCAGTCACATGGTCACGGTCATGCCCAGGGTGAGAAGCAGCAGGGGCGCGCAGGTCCAGCAGTGAGCGCACAGTGGCGGATTTCCCCACAGCCCTGCGCCCCAGCACCAGCACAGACACATGCAACCCCAGCTGCCCACACCCCAAGCTCTCCTCCTCTAGCTCTCCCGCCCTCACCTGTGCGTCCCCCATAACCATCTCTCTCACCCTCCGACCCACCATTCCATCCCCTCCTGCCCCTCCCCCTGCCCCCGCCGCTCCCCCTGCTGTTCCCCTCCCCCCCGCGCCTGCCTCTGCGCCTGCGCGCCCCCGGGCGCTCATTCTCTCCGCCAGCTCCAGCCTGTAGAGGGTCTGCGCCACCAGGGGGTGGGTGCGCGGCTGCTGCAGGCGCATGGCCACGCGCAGCAGCAGCACGCGCAGCCTCTGCAGCGCCTCCGCTTGCACCATGGCTGCTGCCACTGCTGCTCCCGCTGCTGCTACTGCCTCAGCATCTGCTCGCACTGTCACCGCGGCTGCTGCTGAATCTGGCCTTTCAGCTGCGAGTGAGCCCTTTTGCACTGACTCTCCGCCTCTCCCTCCTCTCTCCGCCTTCTCTTTCCCCCGCCCACCTGTCTCTCTCCAGCCCTTGCTGCTCTCCACCTCGTCCTCCTCCTCCCCCCCACTACTCCCCCCCAAGCACACCGCTCCACTCTCATCACTGCGCGTCACACCAACCCCGGCTGCTGTCACGCTCCTCCCTTTTCCGCCGCCCTCGCCACCGTCCCTGTTACCACCACCTCCTCCCGCTCCACCCACTCCCTCCCCACTGCGTATCCTCCTGTGCCGGCTCAGCCACAGCACGCCCTCCCTCCTTCCCCGCGCCACAACGCTGCGACCCGAAGCACCACTACCACGCACACCACCACCAGCAGCACCAGCAGCCTTGGCGGCACTAGCATCGTTCGCAGCACCCCTGACGGGAGCCACAGCAAGAGCAAGGGGCCTGCTCCACGCGCCTCTCCACGCCTCCGCGCGAGCACTGTTGGGAGTACTGCCACCGACTGGTGATGCGTCACGCGCACCTGCTGCAGCAGCAGCAGTGGCGAGTCGTGGCGTGAGCTTCACCGGAGGCGGCCTGGTTTTGACCCCAGATGCTGGCCCCTTCCCTGCGGTGGCGCTAGCAGTGGCGAGAGTGGCAGCAGCGGCGGGATCAGCGGCAGCAGCAGCAGCAACGGTGGCGGAAGCAGCAGAAGGAGTTGGAGCACTGAAGGAGAAGGAGTCTCCAGCACTGGTGTAACTGCTGCTGTTGCTGAACCCTTGTGCTGCTGCTGCTGCTGCCGCTCCTCCTCCTACTATTCCTGCTCCTGCGGGTGACGCCGCCCCCTCTACTAGCAGCATAGCAGCAGCAGCACTGGCATCCTCAAACGGTGCCAACTCGCCGTCCCCCGATTCCTCATCCCCTTCAACCGCATCCGCCACCTCCCCTCCACCCCTCACAGCCTCCCGTCCCTCTCGCGTTTCCTGCTCGCGCTCGCCGCGCGTCGCGGCCTCGTCCCCCGTCCACCCCAGGTCAGCGTGCAAATGCGCGATCTCCTCCGCGGTGCTGCACTCGCTCCCGCCCTCAGTCGCCCCTGTGCTGTTGGTTACCAAAGACCTGCTATTCGCCTCACTCCCGTTCTCGTTCGCCCACAGAGTCACTGGCACAGCCCCACCTGAAGAAACTCCTCCTCCTGCTCCTCCTCCTCCTGCTGCTGCCGCTGTTGGTGCTGAGCCTGCTGTTGCTACCCTAGACGCGATCGCTTCCCCAGCCGTCTGCACGGAAGCGTCATCGACAATGCACTCTTTCAGAATCTCCGCCCCTACCACACTCCCTTCCACGGGCTCCTTCGCGGGAGTTTCTCCTGATTTTCCTGCGCCATCCGATAAGGCTGCCGCGAGCTTATCACTTTCCGCTCCGCCTCCATCACCGCTCCCCTTATCTCCGCGCGCCTCTCTTCCGCGCACCTTCTCCTGCTCTTTCCGCGTCATCACGTCCGCCACCAGCTGCCACACCTCCGCCTCCGCCACTGGCTGCCCCTCCCCCGCTTGTGCCCGCCCATCCGCTCCGCTGGTCTCCGCGGAGACCGAGGCTTCCGCATACGCGCGGGCGTTTACCTCCAGTTTCCCTCGCCTACTCCCTAGAAGCGGAGAGCGTGGATCTACGGACGAGATTCCCGACTCCTCTTCTGATTCCCCGTCTTCCGCGTCTCCCGACACGGCGGGGGGAGCGGAGAAGTCCTCCGCGTCAGAAGTGATCCGCGCGCGCGGAACGGTCAGATCCCCCACGCCCAGCACCCCGCCCGGACCAAACCCGAAACCCGGGAAATCTCCCCCGATCGAATTCTTCCGTTTGCTGCGACCCACCTTCTTTCCCCCATATACCTCCGCGCTAAGACGGCTCCGCCTGTCGAATTCCCCTGACGACCGCCGCGTGCGCCTGCGACCGGCGGAGCTTCCGCCGCCAGTGGTGCTCCGCGTTCCCGAGCCCTTGGTCCGCGCTCTGAGCCGTTTCAACCACGTGTCGTCATCCTCTTCGTCGTCGCCCTCGACGCTCAGCGGTGCGTGAATCGACGGCGGCTTCTTTGAGCCGGCACCGGTAGTTTCCGTGTTCGCGGTGCTTCTGTCATCGTCATCGCCATCGTCACCGTCATCGTCCATGCTTATCGGTGCCCGAATAGACACCCGCTCTTCTTCGCCCTCCTCGTCCTCGTCTCCATTCCAGTCGTCTACACTCAGCGGCGCGCGGATCGACATCCGCTCCTCTTCCTCATCGTCGTCGCGGCCGCCGCCGCTGCCAAGAGGAGATCTGCGCGCAGCGGCCCGTTCCCCCCTGCCACTGCGCCCGCGGGGAGGATTCAGCGGGCCGCGGCTCCCGCTTCCGCGCGACTCCGGCTCCTCCGCGAATTCATCCTCGTCCTCGTAATCATAGTCTACGCTGACAGGCGCGCGGATCGAGATCCGCTCCTCCTGGTCGTCCCCGCTTCCGTCGCTGCCGGACGCGCCGTCGTCGATTTGCTCCGCCATAGCCCGCGGCGCGAAGCGCGAAGGCCCACCCGGGTATGCAGGCGTAGCTGCTGTGAATCCTGGGACGACGCGTGGCCCCGGTTGTGCGGCAGCCGCCGACGCAGCCGCTGCCGCAGCAGCCGCCCTTGCTTCCGCCGTTGCTCTCGACCCTGCCGCCGCCGCCGCTAGCATTGCTTCTGACATTGTTCTTTTCTCCGCCGCCGATGCCGCTGCCGCTGCAGCTGCAGCAGTCGCCGTTTGGTGGGTGTGTGACTGTAAAGGACGGTGGTAGCCCGCGGCAATGGCCGGCCCTGGAGCCGCGTCGCGGATCTGAGCGTCGGTGGGGTGTGTACGGCCGTCATTTGCGTAGGGATGGGAGGAAGGGAGGGTGTGGCGGGAAAGAGATTGATGCGAGGTATCAGTGACTTGGCTTGAGCTGGGGGAAGTGAAAGTGGAACCAAAGCCCGAGATGTTGTTGTTGTAACCCGGCTGCATTGTTCTGGAATGAGGGGGATCTTATATAAAAGCTTGCCTAATAGCACTGTAACGTCAATAGATAGACGGTAAGCATTAGACGACAGTGAGAGCTTCTGACAGCTGGCACTGAAACATGTTGCTGAAAATAGCTTAGTAAACTAATAGCCTCAGGGAGAATGGACGACGAACCGTTCAAGTCGCATTACGTATGGTACGGAGAAACCGAATAAATAATTGAGAACGACGCTGGACTGAAGAGAGTCGCAACTCTTGGTGCGTGCCTCCGGTCTGGAGTAACACGCCATGACCAGCACAAACGATGATGTGGTTATCATATCACACAGCACATCCCTCGCCCATCTGGATTCTGGCTTGACTGGAGGGAACCCAGTTCAGTCACATCATCATGGAGGAGAGGGTGGATGGATAACCCCAAGGACCTCCCTCCCCTCACGAATGTTTGATTGCCTCGCCTCGATTGCCTTGGATGTCAGCCCCAGAGCACGGCACCATTGACGCATCCCCCACGGAATATCTCACATCCACCCACACTCGCTCACTTCTGTACCCCCCAGCGCTGCGCCTTAGGGCGTGTCCCATAACGTGTGTTTTCATAATTGGATGATGCGCGCTGAGGATCAAAACGACACCGACTGCGCTACGAGTTCTAGGCATAAACTATCGGTGAGAAATGACCGTCGTGTTGTGACGCGTGTCCCGATCCGCTGACCTTGATGGCTGCCTGCACACAAGATCGAGGCATGCTACACCTAAGAGACTCGACACTTGGTAACGAAACCAAAGGTTATTCTCCCCGCGGTGCTGGCTCCCTATGGCGTAAGCGATCGCCGTAATTCCGGGTTACGCGGAAACGGCTCTGACAAGGTGGGACAGCAGAAGTGTGTGAACCACACAGCCAACCACTTGCTTGACAGCTGGTTTGGGGATTGGTCGAGGTGACCTCAAGTCAACGTCAGCACTCAGCCCGTATTCTTTGTAGTGTCCTCTTTTACACAACAGTACAGTGTCTTCTGCACAAAACTAACTTCTGTAGCCCAATGATTGTTACATGGAGGTTGGCAGTGGTGTGTGATAAAGGTACTTCATAAGTCTCACTACTGGTAGTAGCACCAGACCGGAAAAAGAGGTTGCCTCTATGAAATGGTCGTGGGATTAAAGGAACACAGAATCTACTTCAGGCAAGCACAAGCATGAGCCATGCTGGAAAGGAAAACGATGAACTTCGAAATATAACTCTCAAGAGTGCATTAGTTCCTACTTCACATATCGCTACTTGACAAGACAGCATGGTTTAGCAGTCTACCAAAAGTACCCTGAGTGAAGTATGTCCAAAGCCTACTCAGCAGCAACGGGCTCAGGCAAGGGGGTGGTCTCAGGTGCATTGGACCGGAAAGAATTGAAGAACTCAGTTTCTGACTCCACATCCTCGTCAAAGGCCAGACTCAATGTCTGCATGCTGAAGCCCGCACCTTGGACCACCTCAACCAGTCCTGACGCGACACCTGTCTCCTGCACTGTGGTTAGCTTGGTAAGCTGGAAAGGCAGAGAAAAAGGGAGGTAAAAACCACAATCGCATGAGGGGGTTGAATACTACATCGAGGAAAGAGCAGCAAAGTGCACTTCGTCAGAAGTGTGCTTGCAGAACGGAGCATTAGAGGAGGGGGCACAAGGCAGTGGAAAGGATGTAAACGACCACAGGTAGGAGATCAAGGGAGTAAGGGTGGTAAGGAGGAGTTGGTACTACAAAGCACACCACTCATGGCACACTGTGCAAAGCAAACCAATAACCAGACAACCAACCGCGGCACAACCATCACCCAGTAAAGTCACCCCACCCACAAGCCCCTCGCCTTTTCAATTCAAACATCCCCAGGCATCCAAGTGTATGAGACATGGGGCCGCGCACGCACGCACCTCCACAGTGGCGCAGCCCTCGAGCACGGTGACCTTCACGTTGTGCACTCCCTCCACAGCCTGCCACCATGAGCACAGCACACGTGGCATGTCATGCGTTAAGTTCGCTTAGCAATGCAGGGCATGGCATCGCAGAAGAGACGGGGAATGGGCTATCTGGTAGGTCAGCGAGAGGGGCCAGTAGCAGCGGGGAGAAGATGGAGCAGCGGCTGCAGCAGCAGAAGTTCGCGTATGCACATGGCATTCGAGCAGATGCTGCTAGAAATGCTCTCTCCTGGCATGCGGCTGTCTTCTCTCATGTACGTCCATGCTCCATGGGTCTCTCGTCAAGATGGAAGCCACACGGTATGTGTGTCAGTAGCTCAGTCATTCTGGCAGGCACTTTCGTTCGCCCCCGCCCCTCTCTCGTTCCGCCCCCCTCCCGTTCTACACGACCTAGGCTTCTTCCACGATCAACAGCGCGCTCTGTACCGCTCACCACGCCCTCTCATCTTACTATCCATACCACAACACAGCTCAACCCACAAAGCAATCAGAATCTCCCGAGCGAGCGGTGCCATAGCTAGCAAGACCCCTTCGGCGACACACGCTGGGCCTTAAACAGAAGCTTCTGAGATCACTCGGTGCTTCATAGCGTTTATGGCTCCCCGATCGCGCGAGTCCTGAGCGATCTAAGAGCACTAGACAGCCCCGGATTCATGACACACTGACAGACCACAAGCTCGCCTGATGCCTTCGCACGGTCTAAGATACAAAAGAAAAAGACGCTGCCCCCTACTACTCTTCCTCCTACTGCTCCTACTCCTCGTACTCCTCCTGCATCCCCATCCTAGGGTAACTTCTCAACAGTAAAAAAAGACATTTACTCAAGGTAAATCAGATAAATATCTCTATGTCTGGCGAAGCGACTTAAACAATTCGACGGTTCCCGAAGCCTTACCTCAAGCGCCTTGGTAACCTTCGCGACAGACGGCTCGGGAAGGGAGCCCTCGGCCTGCAGAGTTGAAAAGAGGAAATGAAGTGCGGAGGAAGAAGCGCAGGCGTTAGCCGGGGGGAAACCGGCAATACCGGGGAACAGCAGGAGACGGAGAGCGTGAGAGAAAGAGAAGTCGAGGGTAGGGGAGCGAAGGGGAAAAAAAGGCGCGAGACTTAGCAACTCCATCTGCGACCTAGCGATCCAGCATTCTGAACAATGCAGGAAACATTGTTTTGAATGAATTAGTGCATGAGGACGAGCAATAGCGCCTCAATTCCTAGCATTCTCAAAAGTATCTAGAATCTGCGTGGAAGCATTTCATCCCGGCACATCCACAACTTCACAGATTCACGCGCATGGAAGCTGCGATGGGAGGCGGGCCGGGGAAGAGGCGCAAGGTCGATCCGAGAAAATACGTAGACCATAGTGGACCGCGACACGTCAAAAGATTCAGAGGACGTCTCAGCAGTAGCTCCAGGTGAACGGAAACCCTAGACTCTCGGATAGGAAAAGCCGTGACGCAAATCGTGTCGGCCTTGGCAGTGCTTGACGAGAGAGCGGGTGTTTAAATGAGACAGTCTGTTTCCGCCTATCAACCTCACGAACGTCGCGAGCCATCACATTTCGTCGAACGCATCGCAGAAGCAGGGAGGCGCACCTTGAAGTACATCACAAGCTCGTCGTTGCCCACATACTCCACCTCCTCCTCGGTCACTGCCACCTCAGCCTCGGCTGCCACGTCAGCAGCGGCCTCTTCCGCTGCCGCTGCGGTTTGAAACCGCTGCTGCAAGCGGTCGCTGCGGCGGGAGGGAGATGCGCCAACAGCTGCGCATGAGCGGAGAGCGGCTGCGCGGGGGGTGGACGACGCAGAAACTGCGGAGGAAATCTGCGCCGCGGCAAGGGTGGCCGGGCTTGTAACGCGGACAAGGAACGATGTGGTGGCCATTCTCAAAGCGCTCCGAGGTTAGGGAGACGAGGTAGTGTAAGTGGGGAGCTTGAAGGTGTCAGGGGCCTGAAATGACGGACGAAGGTGGTTCAGAGGAACGAGTCATGAGTAGGAGGATGGGTAGTGAGGGGAAGTTTTGGAGAGAGGTTTAGGGGCTTGAGGAATGGAATGTGCTTGGTGAAGTGAAAACTGGTTCTGTGCGTTTTAGTGCGATCTGTGACGGTACGTGGATCGACAAGGTACAACTTTTGTGAGATGAAGACCTGTAGTGTGTTGTTGGAGGGGGTCTGTGTGATGGGTTTGGTTCTGAGTGACGCGGCAGCATTTCGAGGTGTGACAGTGCCACGCATGACACGATGACGGGGAGGGTTTGCCAGCATGGCCTAGTCCCGTTCGAGGCTTACGGATTTGGTGATGTGGTGGGGCGTGGCCGCCAAGATGCGATGATTATGGAGTGATCGCATGGGTTGTACTGCTAGGACCAGAGGCTACAGATTTTCATCGTTGTAGAATATGTTAAAACTGCTTCTATTCCTTTAATATTGCTAAAAGAGCTACTGCCACACACCCAGCATTTGAGATCTAGATGAATCAAATAAAGCACATATGTTACTATAATAAATTAATCGACAGTCACATGAATTAATGTTAGAAACTAGTGAGAAGTCTGGTGGATTAGGTAAGAGGGGAGGGGGGGGGAGGGGGGGGGGGGGGGGGTACAAGAGTCTCAGAAATAGAATGCAACGGAATGTTCGTGATTAGCAAAGCAAGGGGTAAAAATAGGAAACCCTAAAACTGTTGTACTCACTAAAGAGCACCTCACTGTTGCCTACAACAAACAACAACATTTGACACACCCCAGATGCTAAGTGAAGGGCATCAAACAAAGTAGGTCACCAAACGGTCACAAGACCAGTCAAAACAAGCAACAAAACAAAGCTCAGGGTGAATCACAACGTCACCACGCATTCTAAGCACAAACAAATGGCCACAAGGCCAGTCCAAGAGGTTACACAAGATATATAGGTGCAAGTACAAGCAGAGCAAGGCTACGACAGACGAGCTTCAGAGTCAACAAGCCCTAACTGCACACAGAATTGGTGGTGATCACCAGGTGTCAAGGCCTTGGTGAAGGGGTCTGCAGTGTTGGCCTCCGAGGCCATTAAGTACACTAAGAGGGTAGGCGAGGTCCGGGAGAGTACAAATCATCAGGTACATGAGGCAGCCAACAAGCTCTGGGTGGGGACCACTGGGCTCAAAGGGCTCTTCGAGGAAGGGGCCGGTGAGTCTGTGGTTTACAGCAAGAAGAGTGGGCTGTGTGGTGGAGTGCTGAAGCCCGAACCGCTGAAAGACCCGCTACACCATGTGTGACTGCGTCAACGAAATGGTGCGAGCGGCTATGTCCCTGGTGATCTGCAGGCCAAGGTAGTGCTGCCGTTTACCAAGGTCAGCGTACGTGTGTCTCTTCTGCAGTTTGGAGTTTACCTCAGCCAGAGCTGCCCTGTCTGGTGTAGCAAAGACCAAGTCGTCGACGTAGACGAGTATAAAGAAAGGAGCGGAGTCGGCATGAACAAACAGTGACGGGTCAGCAGAGGAAGGGCAAAACCCTAGGTCACGAAGCGTGGAGCGGAGAGTGTCTTGGCACTCACGGGGTGACTGGCAGAGACCGTAGACTGGTCGCCTCAGGCTCCACTGGGTCCCAGGAGGGAAAGTACCAGTGAAACCAAGAGGACGTCCTTGTGCAGTCGTCCCTGGAGAAAGGCAATGGAGAAGTCGAGGGAGTGGAGCTCGTAGTCTCGCTGTGCTGCAACGTGGAGTAACATCCGAAGTGTAGTCATCTTCGGGGTCTGAGCAAAGGTCTGAAAGAAGTCAACTCCCTCGCGCTGACTGAAGCCTTTTGCCACATAGCGCGCCTTGAACACCGGCGGTGATTCAGGCGGTCGCTTCACCTTGAAGAGCCACATGCCATCGACTACGTTCGCCCGGGGAGGGGGAACTGCGTCGACGTACGTGCCTGTGGATCTCCAAGAGTCCATGGCTGACTTCCACTGAGAGGCCCCGAGCCCTGACACTGCCTCACGGTACGTGCGAGGAGTCGGTAGGTCAAGGGCGTCGGGGTCTCCCTCAGGGGAAAGCAGCATGGCACAGAGAGTGGGAGAAGCGGCTGCCAGGTACTCCAGCTCAGTGTGCCTATCCTCTAGGGCGTCACAGCCAAAGGGAAACTCACCCCCGACAGACAGAGGACGGGTAGGCGGACCACACGAGTGCTGTAGTCAAGGCGGCTGGCGGCGGCAAAGTCAGCGACAGCGGCAGTGAGAGCTGAGACAGACGACGGAGAGAAACGAGGTTCGGTGACACCAGTGGCTAGAACGCGGGAGACAATAGGACGAACAGCACGGTAGTAGTTGGAGATAGGAGTAGGGGAGACAGGAAGAGAAGACGGAGGAGGAGACGGGAGAACGGACACCGGAGGAGGAGAATGACGAAGAGAGGTACTAAGGAGGGCAGTGCGAAGGTCAGTAACGGGGGGCGAGGGACGAGCACTCGGAAGACAAGGACGGGAACGGTAGTGACGGACAACAGAAGGAGGAGACTGCGGTGGAGGAGAAGACCAGACCGCCGGATAGGCTTCAGGAGGAGAAAATGTAGGACAAAACGTAGGAGACGGAGAGCGGACAAGAGGAGAGGAGGGAAGACCAAGGGCCCGGAGGCCACTCACGGGCGGGAACAACTGCCGCTCCAGAAGGAGCTGCTGCGGCTGCGGTGGCGGCGGCGGCTGCTGCTGCTGCTGCTCCAGTAAGTCCAACTGCCGCAACTCCTGCCGCTCCCGCTCCAACTGCTCCTGCTCCTCGCGCGCACGCCGGCAGGCCACCAGGTAACGCCTGTCCTTGCGGTGGGGAGGCAGAGTGCTCTCCACAGACGTAGTGCCCCCAGCTCCAGTCGCCTCAGAACTAGCACCCCCAGTACCAGTGTCCCCAGAAGGGGTACCAACAGGGGCAGGGTCCCCAACTCCAGCGCCCCCTGTCTTAGCACCCCCAGTGCCAGGACCTCCAAATCTAGCACCCCCAGAACTAGCACCTCCCGTGCCAGCACCTCCAGCTCCAGCAGCCCAAGAACTAGCACCTCCAGTGCCACCGCCTCCAACTCCAGCACCCCCAGACTTAGCACCTCTAGTGCCAGGACCTCCACCTCCAGTACCCCCAGGGCTAGCGCCACCTGCGCCAGCACCTCCAACTCCTGCACCCCTCGAACAAGCACCCCCAGACCGAGTACCGCCAGTGGCTGCACCTCCAGCTCCAACACCAACCGAGTCCACAGTAACCTGTCGCAGAAGTACCAAAGGCTGCTGAAGGGACTATCAGGAGGACTGTGGGGAGGGAGACACTACCTGACACGCGACCAAGGGTAGAGGGGTAGCGTGAGACACACCTGACGGGGCAGGACCAAGGGGGGGTGGGGGTACCGGAGGAGCGGGAGCAGGGGGAAGAGAGGGTGCGAGGAAGAGGGGGGGAGGGGGAATCGGGAGACCTCGACAGGGGTACCGGGTGTAGTAGGACACTGACTGGTCGAACCGGAGGTCACGGGAGTCTAGGAACTGGTGGAGGGGCGGGTGGTAAAAGGACTAGTCGGCCGAGGCTACCGGGAAACCAAGAGAGACACAGGGGACGGGGCGAGCCGAGAGCTTGTCTGGAGCGGTGTCGCGGACAAGCGCAAGGCAGCCCCAGACACGAAAAGCTGACCCAACACCAGGGGACCCGGTCCAAAGATTGGTCGGTGAAGCCTCTGGCCGCGAGACGTGCGGCTGGAGGTTCAGCTGGTGAGCGGCGTAGCAAACCGCGTAGAGCCACAGAAAATGGGGCGCACGGGTATGAATCATGGACGTGCGGGCGATGTCCACGACCAAGCCAATGTGGCGCTCAAAAAACCCATTCTGCTGTGGAGACTCCGGCAGCGTCCAGGACTGTACGATGCCCTGCTCGCCGCAGAATCCGGCAAGAATGCCTGAGCAAAACTAACCCCCACGATCAGAGTGGAGACAGGAGACATGACGGCCACGAGTGCCCTCAGTGGCTAGAAGCCACTGGATCAGCGTAGAAGTCACCTCGGACTTTCTTCGCGAGAGGAAACACCGTGGTGTACCAGGAGAAGTCGTCCACGACCACCAACAAGTAGCGCTCCCTCTCAGGTCCATGCGTAGGTGCAGGGCCCCAGACATCCAACTGGAGTGTCTGGAAGGGAGCAGTGGCCGGACGAAGGGAGGAGGAGTGCGGAGTGGCACGAAGACGGCCGGCGACGCAAGGATTGCACGGCGGCGCAGGCGAGGGAGGGAGCGACGAGAAGACGCGAGGGAGACCTGAAACAAGACGGTCACTAGCCATATTGCGGAGGCAGGGGATCGACGGGTGGCCAAGATGGTGGTGCCACAAGATGGTCCGGTGGGTGAAAGACCGACACGAGCAAGACGCAGCAACTAGATCGGACACAGTAACCTGATCGGACATAGCAACCTGACCGGACACAACAACCGGTGGGGACGCAGTAACCTGACTGGACTCTGCTACCGGGGGGGACGAAGCAACCTGACCAGACGCAGCTACCTGCGGGGGCGGAGTGTGCAGAACGAAGAGACCTGAGTGGGGCTCTCTGGTGAACGTGGCAAGAACTGCCCCGGTGGAAGAGTCCGTACAGATCACAGTCCTCCCGTGCGCAGGAAAACTGAGTGTGGTCCCCCAGTCCTGAAGGTATCCAACACCCACCAAGTTCCGAGAGAACGAGGGGATGTAGAGACCAGTGAGGAAACCAGAGGGAACAGCTAGGCACGGGAGAGTGGTTGAGTTGCGAGCAACTGCTGGTCCTGAAGTAGGATCAGCCAGGGCAACTGGGACTGCAGCCGAGAGAGGTGTGACAGTGGTGTGGTCGCGGAAGAAGCACTGAGACGCACCGGAGTTCAGCGTGAAGGAGAGCGACGCAACGGCAGTCGTCACGGCTGGGCTAGTGAC